CAATAACAATTTCCAGAGCAAAGGTACATCTCTTTCAAAAGTGGCTATAACGTTCTTAGGTTCACAGGAAATTAACACACTTATACAATCATATAAATAATATTTCACATGCATCTTCCTTGCAGGTTTCTACTGTGTGAGGCAGTGCTGCTATCTGAAGAGCAGCATGTGACACGGAGATTTACGGGTCACAGGGGACACACTGCAGCTACAAAAGAAGATTGTGTTCCAGAGTCCTGTGCACACCGGGGTGACTGTAACTCAAATAACTTTTGATGAAGACTTTAGTGCATAAAGGGGGTTCATTGGATCTTGGGGAGGGCTCTGATAAACCCAGAAATATATCTGAGAATTTCTGTTACCCTCACCCCTGCCTTGTTACCGTAAGGAGAGGCCATGTGGTCAGCAAACGCATACTTTACAGAATGTGAACTGGGGCTGTGATCATCACATCCTGTTCATGTGTTATCTTCGGTCAGCACCTGTGGGCTGTGGAGGACATGGCAAGCCATCCATGTCATGCCTGACTGGATCTAGGACAAACTCCTACTTACCAGGGATACTGCACAGCCAGAGGATTGCAGGGAGGATCCTGTGTGGTAGGGAGCATTGAAAGTGAAAGTCTGTAGCTCTAATCCCCGGTGACTACATGGAGGCATCTCCTCTGAAGATCAACTGATGATAAGAAACATCGAGAGTGAAGACATAGGTTACATCTGTGTCCATAACAGAAAAGCCCTCTTGAAATAACACTAGCTATTTTTAAAGATTAGTTAAGAGGAAATTATTACTGGTGGAGAGGATTTATTGGCTGTGTCTGATGAGAGAACTCACACATTGGTCTCCACAATGTGATTATTTACTTTATGAGATATGAAAGGTGTCAGCCCATTTTCCAAAGATAAGCCATTTCACCTCCTTATGTCCTTCTTATCAGTAACGACTGCATGAGCCAAGAAATCACCCTCAGATTTACATGGGTTGGGATGTCTGTGTATTCTGCTCAT